AACCTACATCATAAAACTGACCCGTGATAAGAAAAAAAAACAGATTTTTTTTTGTGGTGCTGCCGATGCTGGGGATCCAGATGCTGAAGTTTTACACATTTTAAAATGTGTAATAAGACTGTCACGGCTAATTACTGTTGATGCACAGTAAAAGCAGCAGGTTGTTTGACGACGATATGAGAAATTTCATTTCATGATATCTAATCCCTTATCCAGCAGCTCTTGCAGAAATGACAATACCTCTGTCAAATCGGAAGTATGAGGGTCTTTGCCGCGGTTTAGACACCAAGTGGAGAAAAAAGACCACTTAAAGGCGTAGAGGTGTCTTGTAGACGGGGCTATAGCCTCTGTAATTGTGTTTAAGACTCGCTCTGGGAGGCTCGAAGGCTCCCGTTGAGCGGCCAGAGGAACAGGGCACATAGGTCGGGCCGAGGATGCCATTTTGTCTAGTTCGCTTGAAAGAGGAAAGCCCGTCTCAGCGGAACGGGCCAAGGGGCCGATACCAACAGCTGAGTTAGCTCTGATAGCCACAGCTGGTTCATCCAAAGGGAGGCCACCAGGAGAACCTTGTGTTTTTGTTCCCTTACTCGCCTGATTACCTGTGGGACCAGGGCGATCGGGGAGAAGCATAAAGAAGGAGGTTGGGCCAGTCGTGGGCCAACGCGTCCTTGGACTTTGAGAAATAAATTGGGCAGTGAGAGTTGTGTTCTGAGGCGAAGAGCCTCGCCGAAGATCTCTCTGAACCGTCTGCGGATGGAGCGTCCACTCCCCTGAGGGGACCTTGATAACATGTCCGCTCCTTGGTTCAATTATCCGGTATATGTGCTACTCTCAGCGAGCGCAGGTTGAGTTAAGCCCATTCCAGTAGGCGCTCTACCAAAGTGAAGAGACGCTTCGAGGAGAGGCCTCCCTGGCGATTTATGTAGGAAACCACAGACATGTTGTCCGATCGGATTAGCACATGGTGCCCCTTTATGACTGGCAGGAAGAACTGACAGGCTCGACATACTGCTAGCATTTCCAGGCAGTTGATGTGGAAGCCTTTTTCCACTTTCGACCAGTGGCTATTTCGGTATGCCCTCGCACAGCGCCGCCCAACCTGAGTTGGAGGCGTCTGTCGTGACAACTGTCCTTCTGCAAAACCATCCCCATGGCCACGCCCTGTTCCATCCAGCGGAAGTTCTTCCAGGGGGCCAGGGCTGTTACACAGGCGTCCGTAACGCCATGCATGGGATGGAACCCGTGGTTTCAACCAGCGCTAAAGGGAGCGCATATGAAGCAGACCCAACTGTAGCGCTGTCGATGCCGCCGCCATAAGGCCCAGCATCCTCTGAAACGCTTTGAGAGGGCGAGTGGTACCAATCTCGAAGCAGATCACCAGCCTCCGTATGGCCAGAGCCTGTTCCGGTGCGACTACAGCTCTCATTTGGGCTGAATCGAAAATTGTTCCCAGGAACGATATTCGCTGGCTGGGGAACAACGTGCTCTTGGAAAAACTGACCCTGAGTCCCAGGCCCTCCTGATGGCTGATGGCTGGATTTCCATCTGTCTCAGAGGGGAGAGAGCCGCGTCCATGCACTTCGTAAAAGTGCGGGGGGCAAGAAAGTATGCATCCTTCAGATCCAGCCAAAAGAACCAGTCTCCTGAGCAAATTTGCGCAAGGATCTGTTTCAGCATAGTCATCCTGAACGACCTTTTCATGAGGGCGTGATTCAGGTGTCTGAGATCGAGGATGGGCCATCCTTTTTGGGGACAAAGAAGTAGTGGCTGTGGAAGCCTGACTCGCTCTGAGCTGGGGAAACCGTTTCTACGGCTCCTATCGCCAGCAAATTCATCACCTCTGAGCGCAGGACGTGTGCGTCTTTGCTCTAAACTGAGGTGGGAACCACGCAGCTTAATCGCGGGGTATTCGAGCGATTTGCAGTGAATAACCTCGTTTTATTGTCTCCAACACCCAGTTTGGCACAACAGGGATGGCCTGCCAGGCCTCAGCCTGTGTGACAAGGGGTTGGATTAAATTGAAAGGCTGGTCGCCGTATGGGGACCCCACACTCAGAAGAGGAAATTTGCTTTCCTTGAAAAAGCTTTCAAAAAATGCTTCGCTAGACTTAATGCTCTCATAGCGAGAGCAGTCAGTCCCCGTGCGCGCTGCCTCGGCATGTGTGGCCAAGACACGTACAATTTGAAGCTGTCAGTGATAATAATCATTAGTGACAGCATTCTCTTTTAATCTGCCTAAAAAGATCAAACCGCTCGTTAGAAGAGGAGTTTTGATGATCTTTATGTGTAAACACTCTGGCAGATCAAAAATGCTGCGCGCATTTTCTCAAATCCGCTCGTAGCGGACGAGGCGAGGGGCGGAGCCATCTTCATTGAAGAAGGCGAGGCATGAGCAAAGCAGAGTGAGACATGAACTCTCATAGTAAGAGCGGTTTGTCTCAGCAGCGCAGCCTCAGTGTGGGCGTGGCCCAGGCGAGAGGCGCGTTCAAATACAAAGCTGTCAGTGATATTGAATCGTTGGTGACAGCGTTCTGCTCCAAACTGCCCAGGAGGATTGAGCCACTCGACAATGAGGGGCGCCGATCCTCACGTGTAAACACACTGGCAGATCAAAGAGCTGCCTGGAGAGTGATGCATGAGGGGACTTTGCCGGCATTAAATCACTCAAGTCTGATCGTTCATACCCACGAGTTCATCATTTCTACCTCCGAGTAACTGGGAGGAGAGAAACACAAGAGCGGGGAAGGCGGGGCTCAGCGACGCACACACAAATGCGAAGCTGCCAGCGTTTTGCTTTGATCTGCCTAGGAGGATTAAGCTGCTCGTGAAAGGAGGAGCGCTGATTCTCACGTGTAACACACACTGGCAGATTAAGCACGCATGATGTGTGTCGGCATGAAATTGCTCAAGCCTGATCGCTCAACCCACGAGCCGTTGCTTCCTCCGAGGTAACTGGGAGGAGAGAAACATGAGAGCGGGGAGGCGGGGCCGCCTTCCATGAACGAACAGAGGCAGACTGCTTTCGTGGTAAAAGCAGCCCGTGTCTGTGAGTGCAGTCATAGTGACAAACACAGTTCGAAGCTGCCAGTGGCAGCAGCTGCTCCAATCTACTTAGGAGGATGGAGCCGTTCGATGTAAAGAGGGACACGGATTGAAGCACAGCAGGGAGAGCGAGTATGCAGGCTCTGTGTCGGTGTGAGATCGCTCAGACCCGGTTGCTTAGTTCCCAGGCTTCGCTGTTTCTCTCTCCGAGGCTTGCTGAGAGAGGAGAAACGGGAGAGCGGGGCTGCCTTCAGTGAAGATGGTTTGCGAGTGGAGAAGAGTGAGACTCATGCTTTCAACGAGAGCATTCCATCTCAGTGAGCCAGCAGTCTCCGCGTGGGGGCTGCCCAGGCAGGTGACACACTCACTGTCCTTCTGCATCGTGCACGATCCCCTGCACGAGCCACACTCGCAGCGCGACATTTGCAACACCGTCGCTAGAATTAGCTCTTTTGTGGCTTACCTGCTAGAAATAAGCTCTTTCAGAATCGCTGGATAGCGGCAGGGGAACAGGACCGGAATTGCTGCGACGCTGAGGCACGAAGAGAGCCGGTCAGCCGAGCAGGGAGGTCTCAGTCCAGCTGCGAGGCATGTCAACGGTGAGCAGGCTTTCAGGATCAGCGATGAGCGTAGAGTCGTCACTGAAGGAGAAGAAAACTAAGAATCCTGTGGCAAACACCCGCTTATATAGCCAGATGCCCCACCCATTCTGGCGGGCTTTGGCAGGCTTGGCGGGCTCCGTCGCCATAGG